ACCGCTGAACTGCAGATAACAGTCAGCTGAAGTGGCCTGCAGTACTGCACCCTAACCACTGCGCCACCTCGGCTCTGGAAGTCTAGCTCTTCCAGTTTCCGGTACTGCCGCACACATGAAGTCCAGCTGATTGTTGTGCGTGCATGCGTGCCAGAAACCCAGAAGAGAAACGGAAGATGCCGTTCGTGCCCGGCAACATGGCTCCATGTGCTACTTCGGGCACGCATTTCATAGGTCCGCCATCACCCCCCTATAGAAATATTTTTTTAAAAAACGGTTGTCTTCCGAATATGGTATGGAAGTCCAGCTTTGATGTAAACAATGGCTGCTGGCAGTTGCAATAAAGCAGATTTCATGGCATCTGGAGGGGAAAATCTTGCTTAGGGGAGCTCAGCTGGGCTGGTAATATGTTAGTCATCTCACGGGCTGTACTGCACAATTAACCTGGATATCGAATTAAACTAGCCTACCGCTATCTAGATTTATACAACTCATTGATTCAACAAGTTCCAGAGTCCAATCAAATTGGTCCGTCCAATTTGATTAAAAAATAAATAAATGTGGCGTAAGCAAACAAATGATAACTCCCAGGGAGCCTACATTAACTTAGTTAAATGTGCAGTGCATAGGTATCCAATGGACATTGTAGTCTTGTCCCATTTATGATAATAATAATTAAAAAAATATTGAGGAATCTGGTAGCATCTTCAGCAAGTTTTATTAAAAGGCAGATGCCTTTGTGAGCCGAGACTTACTTACTTACTTACTTACTTACTTACTTACTTACTTACTTACTTACTTACTTACTTATACATACATACATACATACATACATACATACATACATACATACATACATACATACATACATACATACATACGATTTATAGGCCGCCCAATCCCGAAGGACTCCGAGACTCACTTCAACAGGTGCATAGAGTGGTTAGTTGAGTCTTTGTCAACCTTGGCAACTTGAAGATGAGTGGACCTGGCTGGCTAGGGAATTCTGGGTGTTGTAGTCCATCCATTTTCAAGTTGCCAAAGTTGAGAAACGCTGGGCCACACGGATGTAGGATTTAAGTTCGGATCCAGGAAGGGAAATCAGATTGGAAAATGTGCAGATGTGGGACATATTTGTCAGTACCATATCCGTTAACAATGGTAAGGTGTTAAAGATCTATTTTGGAGGCCGCCTTAGAGGTCTTGAAACCTTTTCACATAGGTGACTTCAACCGTCTCTCATTTAATGTCTCAAATTTTCCTAGAGGAACAATTTGAGATCTACCACAGAATATCCTCTGAGGTTGAAATGCTGAAATCACTTTGTCCTTCTTGAAGTCCATCAGATGGATGCATATGTTGGGATCCATGGATGGATAGGATCAGTAGAGCACTGGTGCAGCTGTGAGATTACAGTTGTTAGATTGTGTATCTTGATGTGTAATGGGTGGAAGGAATAATCTTGAGGAACAGAAAGAAGAGTTGTAACCAAAGCAATTGTCAGATAACAGAAAACTGATTCCTGGACAGAATAGTAACCTGTGGAAACGTCTTGCACAATTCCCCTCCCTTTTTCTCACAAAGATAAAAAAAAACATCCAGACTTGCAAAATACAGTTATTGTAACCTTATAATGAAAATAGTAGAGACACTTCTCAGCCTATGACCACAATTGAGCCCCAAATTTTTCTGTTGTTAAATGAGACATTTGCTAAGCAAATGTTGACCCCATTTTACAATCTCTCTTGCCACAGCTGTTAGGCGGATCACTGTAATTGTTAAGTTAGTGGCACGTTAAGTGAGTGACACTGTTGTTAAGTGAATCTCGTTTCTCCATGGACTTTGCTGGTTAGAAGATTGCAAAAAAATGGGATCACATGATCCTGGAACACTGCAACCGTCGTAAAGATGAACCAGTGGCTAAGCGTCAGAATTTTGATCTCATGACCATGGGGATGCTGTAACGGTTGTAAGTGTGGAAAAACAGTCATAAGTCATTTGTTTCTCAAGGACTGTATTAGCATTAACAGAAGACCAGAATAACAGAGCCGGAAGGGACCTTGGAGATCTTCTAGTCCAACCCCCTGTTCAAGCAGGAAACCCTATGCCATTTTAGACAAATGGTAGCCCCAATGTCTTCTTAAAAACAAGCAGAGTGATGGCATGAAGGGAAAAAAACCATTTCTGGGTCCCCTTGTTCTGGTATGCAATCCTATAGCAGCATCCTGAGGGAAGAAGTTGAAGCAGTTTATCTCCAGGATGTGAGGGGTTTGTAGATATTTTCTCAGCCCTCTTGCTGACCTGTGCAATATTGAGGTAGAGCAGAGCAGAGTCGGAAGGGTCCTTGGAGGTCTTCTAGTCCAACCCCCTGCTCAGGTACGAAACCCTACACCATTTCACTCTCTTCTTAAAAGCTTCCAATGTTGGAGCATTCACAACTTCTGGAGGCAAGTCGTTCCACTTTTCAATTATTCTCACTCTCAGCATTCTTACTGCATTCATAATCTTGGCTTCCTAGTTGGGTCTTCCCTGAAGGGCTGACATGATGCTACCCAAAACTCCAGTTCTCACCATTCTTTTTTTCCCCTTGCCTCATTTCAGAGTTCGTGGAGGAATTCCCCGGGGACGGCCGCGAGTGTGTGAACTGCGGGGCCATGTCCACCCCCTTATGGAGGAAAGATGGCACAGGGCATTATCTCTGCAATGCCTGTGGCCTCTATCACAAAATGAACGGGATCAACAGACCTCTCATCAAGCCACAGAAACGACTGGTAAGGCTGACTCATGTGTTGCAACGTTGCTTTCCCAGTCATGTTTACAGGACCCTCCGCACTGATTGACAGTATCTCTAACAGGTCTGTGGAGATTCTCAGTCGTCCAGGTCACAGTCTCTCCCTCTCTGTGTGTCTCTCTCTCCTCTCTCTGTCTCTCCCTCTCTCTCTCTCTATGTGTATGTCTCTCTCTGTCTCTATCTCTCTGTGTGTCTCTCTGTCTCTCCCTCTCTCTCTCTCCTCTCTCTGTCGCTCTCTTTGTCTCTCCCTCTCTGTATGTCTCTCTCTGTCTCCCTCTCTCTCTCTGTCTCTCTCTCTCTCTCCTCTCTCTCTCCCTCTGTCTCTCTCTCCTCTCTGTCTCTCTCTGTCTCCCTCTCTCTCTGTCTCTCTGTCTCTCTCTCCTCTCTGTCTCCCTCTGTCTCCCTCTCTCTCTCTGTCTCTCTCTCCTCTCTGTCTCCCTCTGTCTCCCTCTCTCTCTCTGTCTCTCTCTCCTCTCTGTCTCCCTCTCTCTCTGTCTCTCTGTCTGTCTCTCTCTCCTCTCTGTCTCCCTCTCTCTCTGTCTCTCTGTC